GCCTTACTACTAGAAGCAAGGACGCTACTAGGGGCTCCTGGCCATACCACTAGTACCAAGAAGCTACTAGGGGTTCCTGGCCTTACTACTAGGAACAAGAACGCTACTAGTCCGCCGGCCTGCCGGCGTGTTTTGTCGATTGTTTTTGTTAGTATTGCTTGTGTTGGCTTCAACCTGCGGTTTGTATCTCCGCGCGGATTTTTCGACAGCCTGACGCCCCCCCCCCCCCCCCCCCCTCTTTACGTCTAAGGTGATTGGACTGGGACATGTCGATCGCTGGATCAGACTAGACAACCATTGGACTGAGACATGTCGATCGCTGGATCGCTGGATCAGAATAGACAACCTCTGATTTGGATTCGTTCCATTTCATTGTAAAACGACTTCGCTTGAAATCAACATCAACAAACTCTCCCAGCAAAATGTGCAACTCCAATGCACCCACAAGTCTGATTGAGCAGGGTATTGTTGTTCGATGTCATTCTGGCTCTTTCATTTCAAACGGTTTGGAGAAAAAAACGACAAATCATGCCAGATCAAGAAATTCTTCGGTCGCTTTGAAGCCTTCTGTATGTGAAAAAGAATATCTTGTGCGACTCGCAATTCCTCAAGACGGTCGAAAAAGAGATCTGACAAGGAAAGCATGCAAAAGGCCAAGTAGTTTGGAAGAAGACTCATTTTCAAGGTCATGTTTTGTGGATTGTCTTGCTTCGTCTGGCTTGTGTTGCATGGTTTCCATTGGTTTCAATCTACGGTTGGTTTCAATCTACGGTTTGTTTCTCCGCGCGGATGTTTCGACAGCCTGCCCTGCCCCGGTTGGTTTCAATCTACGGTTTGACTGTTAATAAGCATCATTAGGCTGCCTGCCAATGCCGGCTCGAGCTGGTGGCCGGCGGCATGCCGAAGGCTGTAAATAACATACCGCAAACTCATCCGTCTGGCCGTGAAGAGTTCTCCCACGTCATTCGCTATGTATGGACTTCTCCATCCGTTGTCTGTAAAAAAAGACCCACAAAAAGAGAATTCGTAGGATTTTGCACTAAACACTCTCGTTGTCTAATTGTCTAGTGAGGGGAGTGCCTTCTCAAGAATCCCATGCCCAAGTTGTACATTTATTGTGCATTGAAGTTGTACATTTAATTTGGTCTATTCAAGAGCTGGGATCAATTTCGATTCTTGATCATCTCACAACCCTAACAATGCCACAAGCAGTCTGAGCTTGCAATTCGCCAGTTAATTTGCTAGGAACAAGGACGCTACTAGTAACATGCTAGCTCGCTCCGCTGGCTCCGTCTGCCTCTTTGGCGAGCTCCTTACAGATGCTTCCAACCAAGTTGAAGAAATGCAGGATGGGATTGTCACCGGCTAAGGGACTACCGAGACAGGCTGTCTCTCTCACAGACATCCGTTATGGTCCTCCGTGCTGCCATCAGCTGATATTGCAATCTCCTTCTGGAGCAAACGGAAAACACAAGCAACAGGACTTCGTTTCAACACAAAACAATCATGTGCTGTTTAAAGAAGACCGGTGCAGGCATCGTCACCCCATTGACTCATATTACTCGGTGGCTCACTCTCATCAAGTGCACAGGCCTTTGCCCTTCAAATGACAGCAAATGCAAATTTTGTACTTTCAGGCAAGTAAAACAAAGGTTTCACAAAGGTCTCATGTACCTCCTAATACGACGCAATGCGGTCTCGGGTTCGATCCTGGGATTCCACCTGGTGCGCACGGAAAACATGCTCAAAGGAGACAAATGTCGAACTCGTTCGAACTCGGACGTGGCTGGGGCACGTTCACTGTTGTGGCCACTTGACACAAAAAAAGTAGCAAGCACTGTAGGCATGCCGCGGCCGCCGCCTCAGCATCTCGCTCGAAAGTGGGTTCGCTCTGGGAAGGACGTCGGAAGGACTTTCACTTTGTCACACTTTCATGTCAAAGCCAACAAATAGCGGGTATTATATGGTACCACTTCGACTTGTCAGCATCTATTTCGTGGATCCTCACACGACTCACTCCACAGGGCCAAGTGAATTCACTGCAGCTTCACCAACCGTTTCGACTAAGGCCTCTGCCATTGCCCCTCGGTGCCTGCATTTTGTGAACATTGGGAACGCTACATGCTGAGACGTTCACGTCCAAACACCAAATTATTTTGTTGCAACCTTTGACATGAGGGAACCCTTTCAACCTGTAGAAAGCTAGTAGAAACAAGTGCCACGCTAGTAGTAACAGGTGCCTTACTAGTAGTAACAATGTTTGCTATTAGAAACAAGTGC